TGGACACACAGCCCTTACTCTGTTGGGGATTAATCTGTATACAGCCCTTAACACGGCATTCGGTTCATTCTGCACACTGCAATTCTCAAACAAAACAGCCCAATCTAACAGGACGGACCTCAAAGATGGATACTGACATCTGTTTTGCAGTTGTGGGTTTACGCCTACTTCCCTAGGCTTGCACCCGTACCAGTCGCGGAGCCTCCTCCGACTGTTCCGTTCTCGAGTCGCTTTGACGGGAGATGCACCCGGCGACCACGGGAGACGTTCGGCTTCTTCCGCCGATACTTCGACACCATCACCCCCGCGGAGGTATGCTTTACTTTTAGTTCGTTTAAGCTTCGCTTTCCAACTGTATATTTCAATAACAGTAGATAACAAACTGCCTGCCACTTCCAGATCACATGGCGGCCATGGGCTTCCTTGCCGTCGGCGATGCGGGGTCGGTTCCCTGGTGCTGAGGAGACCTCGCGTTTCCGGATTCTGCTAGAGGGCCCGGTCTGTCGGGCTTGGTACCTGGGGGAGCGTTTCCTACGCCAGACCCGCAGGTTACCTGAGCAGATAGTCCCGGTTCACCCTCCTGCAGAGATGAGGGAGACCGAGGGGCTGACCCCTGAGCAGCTGGATGATTACTCCATCGGCTGGGAGGAGGCCGGCTTCCGAGGCACCGGCGACTATCAGGAGTACGTGCGGACGTACCTGATGCGACCTTTGAGCGGCCGTCGAGCAGAGGGGGCCAGGCCTGTAGCGTCGGCGGCTGGGGCCGGAGCGGGAGCAGGGGCTGGATCTTCGAGGAGGGCCCGAGTCCGTGGTAGGGGTAGAGTGCAGGGAGGACGAGGAGCTGGCTGGCCTGCCCTGCCCGCTGTATTGACTTTCCACGGGCAGGGTGGGTCGACCTATCAGATCCCCTTCGCCCCTCCACCGGCTGGTCATGAGTTCATTGACGTCCCCGACTTACCACCGGTACGTATCACTGCACTTCGTACAGTTATTCATTTCAGTTTACTTGATATTCCACAGAATATTGATGCATCTGATACTTTTGCAGGCTTCTTCTGAGTACACCCGTCGGTCGTTGGCGATGAATGCCTCGATGATGGGGATGCTCCAGCGGACATTTGACCTCCTAGCCGTCTACAGCATACCGGTATGTTCTTCTGACACTGTCCTCAAACCATTCATACACTACTTTACATAATCTGATGCACGGCACAACACGTGATACACTGATCTCACAGTATCTGACACACTGTATACACTGCATTCTGCACCGTACTCTGCACTGATAAACTGCTCATGGCATTCATACACTGTACTCACACACTGCATTCTGCATTGCTAAACTGCTCACGGCATACTGATGCATTTCCCTTTCGTGTACTTTTCAGCCTCCTTTCCAGATTCCCATGGCAGGAGGTGCTCCGGCCAGACCTTCTGTCCCCGCCCGGGGGAGAGATGAGGAGGGCAGGATATTTCCCGCTCCCTGATGCGGTCCAGCGCATCGTGGACCGGGCGGGCTTCGGCACGTTCTGCCGAGGGCTCTCTAGGTTGTCCACGAACTTATGCTGCCATGCCTTGTTTTGCCCTCTGTTGCTGTGAGTTGCAGGTTCTGCAGGAATACTCTGCCGACCGGCAGTGTAATGTGCCGACCGCACCATTTTCTTTGCCGACAGACCCTATTTTGTGCCGATGGCCATACTACACTGCCGGTGGAAGTTTCATTCAGCCGGTGGTACTCCTCTCTGTCCAAGGGATCAGTCCTGAGGCTTTGACAGCCTCCAGAGGAGGAAGGAAGGAAAACAGAGGCAGCTTTGCGCATGTGGCGCGCTTCCCGAGGCATTTTCCTGCTTTAATTAATTTATTTAATTTGTTAATTAAATTAGTTAATTTGTAATATTAATTAGCTTGTGTAGTTAATTAATTTTGTAATATTTATTCGGTCCCTCCGACTGAGGGCAAATTCTGTAATAAGTGTGTGTGGGTGGTGTGTATGTCTTCCAACTCACTTCTTTCTTCCCTTTTACTTACCCGCTTTAATGGTTAGTATTAGGGCACGTTTAATTTAGCATACCTTATGCTATGCATGTGTGCATCCATGCAATTTGTATTGCATGCATTAGGCTCGGTACATCACGGCTAACTGCATCAGTACTTCAATTCCCAAACTGGAATACGTGATAATTGTGCATTTTCACATGACATGTTTAGGATAGCCGAGCCTATTCTTGAGTAACATTTTGTATGCGATGCATTAAGCACTTCAACATGGACTTGATCATGCATGTTTGCTAACAAGTTTTTTGTTTTGGCACGGAGTACTATGTAAGTATTTCCGCTTTAGCATATCACATGAGTTGAATGTTACCATGACAGGCATGCTTAACATGTGGCTAGATGCTTATGTGTTAAACTGTTTCGAATGACTGTGGGTGAAGGTTGGATTGTTGAGTTGGAAAAACTCGTTGAAATCCGTATTTTAGCCTACTTGCGAGTAGCAAATTCACAAGCATTTTCAAACCGAACGGATATGTAATAGTTTATTTCCAAATTAGCGCAATCTAGTCTATACTGTTTGCTGCCGCATAAATAGTAATTCTAGGCTAATAATTGGATTAAAACACAAAAGTTTTCAAGTACGGATATCATGGTTAGTAGAGGCCGGTCTTCGGACCGGCGGAAAGGGGGTGCTCATAGCTGACTTCCCGATCTACCCAAGCTCCCGAGCCGAGACAACTCCGGTGATGGACGGACATGTGGCCTTCGGCACCGAGTCAGGGTTTCCTAAGTTTCTCATTTTAAAAATATTTAGGTGGCGACTCTTGTATCTGGCAAAGCAGTCCATGTTTTGGCACTACTTTTCAAAAATCTGTTTCTCAAAACGATTTGCCAGATTTGGATCTTTGGTTCAGATTTAGAACCGCGACAACGAAAATCGCGAGTCCGAACTGTAGCGAGGTCCCCTCCCTCCGCGGGCTTGTTACAGTTTCTGGCGACTCTGCTAGGAGATTTTTAGAGAGTTTGACTCGAACTCGTGATATCCTGTTTTGATCTATTTATGTGTTTCTTTGCATTGCATGTGCATTGGTGCGCCTAGGAACACAGTGTTTGCCATCTGCCATTCCTAAACGGTTTGCTGGAGGCTTGTCTTGTCAAGGCATGTCATTAAGCTGACCGGCATGGGCTCTGACGGTTGGGAACACAAACTCCGTTTTACCAGGGCACCCTTTTTGACCATTCGCCTAGTGCATATTCGGATCCATAGTGACCATTCCAAGCTAGGACAGGTTGCTTACCCGTGCTAATTGTTTGAGAAACCGCCTGTGTGCATAGTGAAACCCTAGCTCCTGAACAAAATAGGATAGGGAACCCTACCCCAACATAGGGGTGTTTTGTTCTCTTTATTTGCTATGTGCTTTTAGAGTGTTACTCTACAGGAAACGCACATGTCATTTGTAAGGTTTGAGTATCAAACCTGGGGACACCAGTATCAGTATCAGTTGTGAGAATCAGTTATCCGCAGATATCGGTTCAGTTTTTCAGGAGCAGTGACTCTGGGAAGTGATCGGCAGTAGGGTACAGTTGTTTGGCTACACCGTGTTGATCAGTTTGGCTGAAGTGCTGTTCTGTTTTTCTTTCAAGGTTCGAAAAGTTGCAGAGTTTGATACAGAATAGCCAGTGTCCCCCCTTGCTGAGGCGGGATTTATGGCGCACAAAGTTCAGAAGAAATTGTGGTTATGGCAACTGCATCGGAGCAGGGAACCGCTCCGCAGAATGAGGCCAGATCAAGTATGCTCATATCCGCCCAGGTCGCCCGTTGTGCACCCAGTCTGGGCTCCCCAGTTATACCAGGCTCGTGAGCCCACCACCTTCGAATTGATGGGATGATAGGCGATCTCAAAGGTCTGTGGCAGACCTCGCCTATGGAATGTCGGCTTCACCGCCAGCGCGCCGTATGCCGGAGATTTTGTACCACAGGAGCCCCCGCTACTGGGGCGGATTGTGATAGAGCAGCAGCCAAGAGGTGGCTTCCGGCTATAGCCACGACATGCCAGCACCAACCACGAACCTTGATCAGGCTGAGGCCAGAGGAAAAGACAAGGCAAAGATAGACGCCGACCCATTGAACAACTGCTGTGGGCAGTCGAGGCTCTGAAGGCCAGAGGGGATGAACAAGCAACAAAACATCTGCCGATAGTGACCAAAGCTGTAGATGATGCTTTCCCGCTCCAATCAAAGGCAGTTCAAGCAGACAGAAAACCGGGATGGGCCCCGTCAATGCCCAGACAAATTCCTGTAGTCCAACCCTGCACCGGGAAGGTTCAAAAGCCAAGGCAGCGCCGCCGATCCTTTCGCGCAGCGCAATCTGGCAAGAATCCTCAAACTGCAAAGTACCTGCCCGAGGGCGCAGGGTCTTCATGACCTCACACATGCCTTTGTCTAGGGCATTATTAATATTGGCGAAGAATGGCGCTCTATAGCCTTTGGA